AATAATGCACGTGGCCTTTCGATGATATTTTCACCCATATGCTCTCTGAGGGGATGATATCGAGGATCAAACAGGGCGTGGGGTTGAGATCAGATGGGACTGCAAGTAATACTCCTCCACAACCCATAACACGGTCTTTCCTGAATATCGAATAACCAAGTTCTGGAGGAAAGAGTTCTGCATTTAAAACGCTAGAGCCTATTTTCGTTTCCTGTATGGCTACTACATCAAAACCAGAGGTTTCTAAAAAGGACTGAAGTTCTAGTTTTTTCCCACTAATGCTGTTGATATTGATTGAGCATAGTTTGAAATCCCTGGTAAGCTACTGGATATTTCGCTTTCGTTACTTTTAGGGGACCGTTTCTCTAAAGAGGAAAACAAGTAATAACGCGGAGAAAGTGAAGAGTTTAAAGCGACGGAAAAAATAATGTTGTACAGTGAAGAACCAAAAAAGGATGAACGGCACATACTGGTTATTGTAAAAGCATCTTTTAGCCAGGAACCATAAGTTTCGTAGTCGGTTTTGATTTAAGGCTGCCTCACAATTCAATGGAACGAAAAGAATTGCCAAGAGGATTGTTTAGGTGCACATGGAACCTCATGCAAAAGATAGAGTGCCCATGGTAAGGAATGATAATCATTTCAAGTACTTGGAGGTTGTCTTCTCGAGTAATTGGTGGACTAGCTAGCTTTGGGGCATCAGATTTGGTTTGGTTGGCTTGAACGAGCACCCTCTTCGTTTTGTAAGACTTTGAAAGGAATAAACCATACAAAAGCCAATAATGCTAGTGTGATATTTCAGCGCATAACTTTGACTTTGTCGTTGTGGTAAGTCAAGCGACATCAAAAGCAATAATAAGAAAACTGAATGTTTACTTAATCTGTGAAGTACATGGCACAAATACATAAGCTCAACTGAAACAAATTCCATTCATTTGATAAATGTTGCCTCACAGTTAAGTAAAGCCGTTTTCTGATAGTTTTGATTCAGTTGTATTTGATAAAGGTTTCCTGACAATTATTCGTGCCTCTTATTAGGTATCTAATTTGACCTTTTTTTAGTAATGTTGCCTCCGAGTAATAGGAATGTCTTTAGTTATCTAATTTGAGGGGGCCACTTTTGGCATCCAATTTGAATATTTGCCACATTCTGCATACCACCAGCCCTGTGGCGATTTTCGCCGAAATCGCCAATTTCGCTACAATCACCATTTTCGCCAAAATTACCAGTTTCCAAGGACCCGGGAGGGTTTTCACCATTATCGCCGGCCCTCTGGCGATTTTCGCCAAAATCGCCAATCTCCAAGGGGCCACTTTTGGTATCCAATTCAAGTCGCCAGAGGCTGGCGATTAACCGCCATTTTCGCCATTGCATGCATTTCTGGACATAGGTGTAATCGCTCTCAAAGATCCAAAGTTATTTACAAAGCTTGTTGTTGGTATTGTAATGATTTTTACATTGGTAAAACTAAGCGACGGCTCCATCATAGGAAGACTAAACACTTCAAGTCCCTAACAAAAATTATCACTTTTCAGCTATCGCTGACCATGTCAATGCCACCCGACATAACATTAAATGAATCACTTTGAAATCTTAGCATCTGACAAAATATACAAGACCTAAGCCAGCTTTTAATGTCAACATCAGCAGTGAAAAGCTGATGCTCTATTAGCTGTAGCCTTTTGTATTCATTACTCTTAAGAGTTTTGAAATTCTTAGGGCCTGTTTACATTGAGTTTGAGGACCCCAGACAGGTGAGGCAACATTTCGCGGGTCACCCCGCCTAACATGTACACGTGATCAAATTAAAATGAGACGTTATATGGACAGGCGGGTTACCACACCAAAGCGGGTTACCTCACCTACCAGGGGTCTCCGAGCGTCGTGCAAATAGGCCCTAAATCTCATTTCCAGACTGTAAGATCCAAGTGTAACATTTTTCTATTATTCGTTCTTGCGTAATTTGTTTTTCCTTTGCGTAGGCAAATTAGTTTATACTTCTTTTCGTCCTTTTGTTTAGTCTTTTTTTTTGCGTTAATTTAGGTGTTCATTCCTTTCTGTCAGTTTTCGCGCCCTCGTTAGCGTTTCTTTGCTGTTTCATCTTCATTAGCGCCTTTCTAAGTTTCTATAGTTTTATTTTCCGCATGTTCTAGCGTATTTTTCATATCGTAATTTTGCAGTACAGTTTGTGCAGTTCATTTTGGTCCGCGCTTAGCGCAGTTCTGTTTAGTTTCTTGCAAGTCCCTAGCTTCGCGTTATTCGCAGTCCGCTTCAGCAGTTTTCTCTGGCCGAAACAATGTAAGTGTACTTCACAGTCCTCGTTTTGCAGTTTTGTTATTTCTTTACTCTAATTTACCTTAGTCGCAACTTGTAACTTTTTTACTCTTTTACCGTTTTAGTTTCAACCCACGCCGTTTGTATGCGCACTCAATAAATCTTCATTCGAATTTGGTTTGTGGCGTTGTCATTAAAGGCCAAGAGACTTTACGCTTATTGCAGTTTCACAGACCCATTGCAATTTTTGAATTTATAGTCTAGTCATTTTCTTTAACAGTCACGTAAGATCCCTTTTGAAAATGTACGTTGAATAGCATACATTGTACGAAAAGTCAAGTTTATAAAAATGCGAAAACTCACAATGTTTATCACCGCTGTTTGTGTTTTATTTTCGATCAAACTAAGACGGCCCAAGAACAAAAGTTCTCTTTTCTTCTTATAAACAATGCGGCACATGTAGATGATTTATTCACATATAGAGAGTATATAATAGATTAAATGCAGGTGTTATTACTGTTATTACTGTTTATTCTTTAGAAAGAAAACAAATAAATTTAGAGTAAAGGAACTGATTCGGCGAACTCTTTTGTTCAGCGTTGCGCATAAAAACCATCCCTTTTCAGCCAAAAAAATATTGCAAATTAAAACTCTATTTTTAACACTGTATGAGGTGATTCATCTTTACTATCAAGGTTGGCGTCAATGCAAACGGGGAGCAAAAATCTCTATCCATTACGGCCGGCTAGTTAGCTTCTGTTTTAATTTCTGGTAGGTACATTCCGAACCTCCGCCCCGCAAAGGCCACTCTTTTGGCGGATAGGCCACAAATTGACTTTTACTTCAACCTCTCTACAACAGCTTCTTTTTTCTGTCCCCAAGGCAGCCCCTGTGGAGAGGTTTCACTGTCGTAATGAAGCTACGAAATGTTACAAAACTCGAAAGGGGTCCGTCTAACAATGATTTCGATATTGTCATTTGTCTGGCTAGTCATCTACCAGGTGTTCTTAGTTTTTAAAGCGTCACTCTTCCTTAGGAAAAGTTGCTTAACGAGGGAAGTTAAAAGCAACCACGACCACGAAGATAGTGAAATAGTGAAAATGTGAATTAATCTGCGTTTTTTTCATACTTTATAGCGTCGCACTTATTTCTTCTCTTTGTGTTCACGCCTTTCATAAAACGTCGCACAAGGAATCACGTCAGAGGCGTAGAGACATTAAAGAAATATAATAGGGCCAAAAAATCTTTGTAACCCACGTGTTTTCGTTGCTATTGTTGTTTGATTGTTGCTGTTTCTGTTTTAGTTTTAGGCTAATAAAAACCCACTGTGTATAGATGTTAACGTTATCTTTGCCGTTGTTGCGTTGGTTGCTTAAATGCTTTATTTAAATCTTTCACTGCCAGAGTATTTGATAGAGTTTTGTGAGGTGACTCTAACTTTTGAGTCTGTGGATGAAATCCTATGATGTGACCATTCAAATGAAAGCTCTCTGCCTGTACTTTCACATGCTGAAATCACATGATTTGTTTGTCAAAATTTTAGAAAATGAAATTTGGAAATTCGCTCGAAATTTGCCTTTGACCAAATTTGGCAGTGAAAGGGTTAAAGGTGAAAGTTATTGTTTTTGTTATTGTTCTTGTGATTTTCTTCTTTTTTGCTTTTCTGTTGTTTCTTGTTTCTAACAATACCCTTTTGCTGGGGCAGCGTCGGCCTCAAGCCTGAAGTTTCTCTCACTGAGCGAGAAGGCGCCTCGATTTTAGGATCATGTCACGAACAAGTTTTTGAAAGCACTTGCAAAAATAGCAATTACCAGTGAAATAAATTAAATTAAAACTGTGAAATCATACTCAACCTACTTATGAAATTAAATTAAGTTAATGGCTGACAAACTAATGGCCTATATTGACTTAAGTAAAAATAAAATCCTGTAAGTTCATTTCATCATGTTTTGATTCCGGCAGTGCAAATCTCTAAACAAAAACTCTTTAATCCATCATAATCATCAAAGTTAATTATTAGTCCATCAATTTAGAATTCTCGAAGCTACATAGCATCACTATGGGAACTTTAGGGTTGCATTGTAAACATAATACTTCGTGAGGCCCTCTTTTCAAATCTCATAGTTTTGTATTGAATACATTTTGATTGTTATCCTCTTGAACTAGGAGCCGTAACAGCTTCTTCTCCCATGAACTACGCCCAGTATCCGAATGGTAATCGACAAAGGTGCTCTCTCTCAAGGCTTTGGGCAGCTTATTTTTCTTTATCCCATCGATTGTTACCACTAACAAGGAACCGTCCCGGCCAACTTTACTTCGATACAACGCCATCTCAAGCTCACCCCTGCAGAACTTACTCTCCAAGTAGTTTTTGGACAGAACTGCCAAGACTTTGCGGCTGGAATAGACGCTCTCTGCCATGTTATCGACCAATGCTCTCCCTAATTCAAAGTCACGGCTATGGATACAATACTTCAGCCGATGGCTTTCCAACAGAGGGGTGAGTTTAGTCGATACCCACTGCCGGTCTTTGCTGCTGAATGTCACAAACACGTCATAAGTGAACTCTCCCGCTGCTGCTTTCTCTGAAAGAAAAAGCAATATGTTAAGAGACATTCAACGTCAAAAATGTTAAAAAACAAGTTATAAATATAGTTGAGAATTTTATTATTATTATTATTATTATTATTATTATTATTATTATTATCATTATTATTATTCAATATTATTATTATTGCTTAATCGAAAGGAATTGTAAATATTGCTTTGACTGAATAGTTTTTTTAAGCGAAGTTAAATGTAAATAGGCTATTTTGCGATATGTGAGAAATGACAGCAATTGCGCAGCCAAATTGTCAGGTTATTGAACCACTAAACGAGAAGACCTGGAGACGAGGTTGAGTTGTGTTCATAGTTACTGCAAAATGGCGGAACATTGTACTCGTTTAACGAGGAAGAAGTAGGCAAACAACATAGCAAGGATACAAATTCTTTTGGAGAATTTTTGCAGACCTGAACAACCCCTTATATCCTAAAGTTGCCGATAAACATGCATTATCGAAGATGAATTTAGCATCGCTGGACTTAAGCCGTCTTAGCTTTTTTTTATTCTAGGACTTATTTGAAATGAATGAAAAAATTATTATTATTATTATTATTATTATTATTATTATTATTTGTTTTATTTCTTTATCTATCACTCTCTCTATTCCTCCAAGAAATGCACTGAGCATGAGTGTTCGTTCCGTCACGAACACTCAAAATGATAAAGAATCTGACATTTCCACCAGAAAAAAAGCTAACTTGGATGGACAAATAGCGCTAAAAACAGTCCGCCGAAATACCTTGAAGTTTCAGGTCTCGGCGCTTTTTTTGCATTCTTCGTAGAATGATCAAGCCTGAAAGTGCAAGGAGTAGTCCACCAGCGGCAAGAGGGAATATAATTATAAACATTGTAGAGTTTTCTTTGCCACCCTCTGCAGAAAAGGACAAAAATAAATTAATTAATGAAGGAAGAATCTTACACACAAAATATGATAATGTGTAATGGATCGGTTAAAAAAAAAAAAAAAAAAAAAAAAAGGAATTTGCTAAGTGGCCTCCAATGAAACCACCACGAAACATCTCAAATTCGTTAAAATGTTTTGTTCAACTTAAAAAGTCAAGTAGATCAGAATTTCATAAAAGATTTAAGGAAGTTTTCCTTTCTTTTTTTTTTTAACGAATTTGTCAATAGGCAAAAAGGTAAGGTCGAAATACATTAAGAAATAAAAATTATGAATGAATAAATAAATAAAATGTAAGTAAATGCATGAATAAATAAATAAATAATGACATACAGTACATTACCTCTTTCCTCATTTTGCACTTCTAGAAAAACTAACTTTGACGAAACACCAGCGGTAGTGTTAATTACACAGTTGTAGCTGCCAAAATCTGAGACTGATAAGTTGTTGATCTCAATTTTCATCTCAACTGTCTGCGAGACATTGGAGCTTTTCCAACGGAATTCACCAATCTTAAAGCGTGCGTCCAGTGAGTCGTTTAACATGACGCCTTGGAACAGCCAAAACGTGTTTGCGTCAATGAAGGTGGAATGGAAAGCTTGACACATGAGCTGGGCGCTTGTTCCTGCTGCCGCCTTCACTGTTTTCCAGTTCGCAGAAATGTTTTGAAGACCATCTAAAGTTGTCCAGTTTCGATTTGAGTGAAAATAAGAGAGGGTAATGAGTCTCTTAGGGAGTTGGCCGGGGTATGTCAATTTCACTGAAGTTATTTTTAGAGGTTGTATTAAGGTGGCTCGTCTGGATTGATTAGGAGGGATACCTCCCAAGTTTGAGCATCACCTACGTCGGCATGAGTAAAGTTATGGTAAAGCTTGAACAAATTCTATGAAAGCGTTTTGGAAATATTTTGAAACAAAGTTTTAAGAATCAGAAAAACAGTGAAATAGCATGCTATCCACACAATTAGCTAATATTTTAAGAAAATGATAAGCTTCGGAAATGCGGCTTCGTCTCATAGCGGTTTAATTCAATTAAAAACTGCGCGTTAGACGAATTTTATTAACCTGCATTCAGCTTCTTAGGTTTCAGTTTTTGCACGTAATTTGGTCCGTATCTACAAATTTCATACACTTGACAATCCCTAGATCAATCATCATAAATATATTCTGCAAGTTTCAAGAACATTGAAAACAGGAAAGGCTTTTAAACAGAGCCTCAAATATAACCAATTTTTCCTCCAGATTTTGTGCTTACAAAAGTTGTTTTCAAGTTTCATATGCACGTGCACAACTAGCAAAAAAATAGAATTTGCATCAAAAAAAGGACCCTCGGTCACTTTCCAAAAAAGATCCCCAGAATATGCTAATAACCGGGTAAAGAAATTAGTGATATATTATAACATAACAGCAATTCTTTGTAAGAGTTTCTGTGATGCATCCTACACGATGAACTTGACGCTCACCGTTTCGGCTCTTACAGCTATCTGTGACAAGAGCCAATTATTAGCATATTCCGTATATTTCTTTGGAAAGTAATCAAGAGTTCTTTGCGATGCAAATTTATTTATTTTTGCTAAATGTGCACGTGCATATGAAACTTGAAAACAATGCCAGTGAATAATGAGGACGCTCTCTTGTAACCACAAACTCTGGGGGAAGAATTGGTTATATTTGAGGCCCTATTTAAAAAAGCTTTCCCTGTTTTCAGTATCCTCGAAAC